ATAGCCGTCACGCATAACAAATGCGTAGGCTCAGAAAGTCAATGTCCCACACTGACTTTATCAAAAAGCTTCTCGGGCCCAAGTGCCACAATAGCTTCAAAATATTTGCGGAGGAAACCGGCTGTTTTGATAGCCAACCCGCCCACTCATCCACTGCTCTCAGCGGGGATCAGATTAACTAGTCATTGCCACAACGCATGACACGAAAGGGAACGAGGCGAGAAGTGTCGTTTCTCTGAGGAAATAAAATTTTGTACTTGGATTTGTTGTAATTAAGGGAGTAACATGACTGCATTACAATAAACTGTTCACATTAGAATAATGTGCACATGCGCCATGGGATATGATTGACCTAAATCATCACTCATTGGTATGACATAGTATTTCCCAATAGATTCCTAATGGTATCTATTGGCGCTAGGATCTCTCACATCCTTCCTTTCTCGGTTAGACAAGGACAGATGTTGGAACATCCACTAGTGTGCAGAACCCCCTTATTCATGTATATAGAGGAAGGTCCTGTCACGTAGATAAATCAAGCAATTCATACAATAGGAAATTCAAACAATCTCCATATTATTCACACACTTGAGAATAACAGGGAATATCCTCAAGTTCGTCCATTGATCCAAGTCCTAAGAGTATAACTCACGAACTTTACTTCTCTTAAAGCCATAGCTACCTCCTTCCATACCTTCATCCTAACGGTACGTCATTCCAGCTCAGCATAGCCTTTCAATAGGATTTAGGGTTGAAGGATGGAGTCTCGATTTCGGAGTCGGAGTAGGTGGTGTCTTCTGAGTTATAATTTACATTCTACTTTTTCTGTTGCAGGTCTCGCGGTTGGAATGAGTTGGGCCTGTAAGAAGTGATCCGCGCCGGCTCCACCAGTCTTGTACCTATAGTGGACCTAGAGCTATAACTTAGGACTTTAAAATAATTAAAAAAATATAGCAGATCTTCAATGCATATCTGTGACGGGAAACCCGAGTTGGTGATGATAATGTCGATTTAATAAACTGTATAAAGAAGAAAGAGAAATATAGCTACAACTAACGGGTATTTATAACATTCAGCCCCTCAGTGATTGTCTTGACTGATTTCTTCATCCTAGGTCGAATACTTGGCACCCAGCCACACATTATCAAGAATCACTACGCTGTGACACTGATCTGGCCCTTTGGCTGGTAGTGCCGTATCTTCCAGTTTCCTCTATCATTTCCTTAAAGTCTTACAACATGAATCTTCAACAACACGCTTAGGTATCCACATAAGCTGAGACAACGGTCAAACCGTAACAATATCCGTCTTCTTCATGTTAGACTTAAAGCACTATCCTATATCCACTCAAGTTGACTGTTACACCCATTGCGACAATTCTTAGACTTCTCATGACCTCGTTATCACAATACCTATCATCAGGAAAGCATGGCCAAACCGAAATTATCAACACACATCTGGAACAATTTCTTCGTCTCTTTTGAGATATTACTTGAGCTGATGGGGCTGATTGTCTACAACTTGCCGAATTCGCTGCTAATAACAATGTCTTCACGACCACAGGAATGTCCCCATTCTTCGGAAACTTAGGTCAGCATTCTAGATTGTCTTTTAGTTCCCCATGCAGAATTCAGGTAGGTGCACTAGCGTCGAAGAGAAAAATAAATCAAGCTAGGAAATTCTTTGTTACTAAGATGGAAGAGATCACAAACTTGCTTTATACTAACATGCTAAGTACTCAAGCTTCTCAGGAACATCAAGCTAACGCCAACCGTTCCCGGTATACAGAGTCAGCGATTTTGGTATTCCTTGATTCCCGAAATATCAACTCCGCTAGGCCCATGGAAAGACTAGACAATAAATTCCTAGGTCCCTTCCCAGTGTCCAAAGTATTTAATTCACATGCCTATCAACTGGATCTACCAGTGGAGTTGGAAAAATTGCATTAAACCTTCCACACATCCCTCCTTCGTCCGTCGCCCACTGACCCTCCACCAGGGCAAACATAACTTCCATGACCACCAATCACGATAGATGAAAATGGGCAGAAATTATGGGCTATATCAAACATTCTAGATTCACGCAAGAACAAAAAATCGGAGTGTCTAATCGAATGGCGAGATATTGAGGGCGAAGCCTCGTGGGAGCCACTAAAAAACGTGGTAAATGCAAAACCCTCTATTCAAGAGTTTCATCGGCGATTTTCTTCCAAAAAGAAATCTACTCAAAATGAAACGCTAGAAGCTCGAAAAGAAGCACTCGGTAAGTAATAGAAGAGGGATCTTTTGCGTGGGAACGAAACAATAGCGTAGAAGCGAAGTTGAGTTATTCCAAGTGGCAATCATTTATATTTGGTAGCTGTAAAATGCACAAAGATCGAGGTATAGATCATTAGCAAAAGCGCTCGGACCCATTTTTCTCCTGTAAAAGTGTTAGACCCTTGCGGTCAATTGAAAAATGTAAAGTAAAAGTCTATTGGTGAAAGTCGGTTTGTCATAGTCTAAATAAACCCACTGTGTATACACAAGTCTCCTGAGAATATCTACGTGTGATGATGAAGTGCATGGGCGTCTTCCCACAGTGTATCAGGACTGATACTTTCTAGAAACATCGCGGTTCTGCTTGAGACTACCCTTCAAACACCCGAGGAAATAACCCAAGCCAAAACAGCTCTCAATGATGCACTACGACTCATCAAACAACGTAATTTGACCAAAGCCATACCATTCAAACAATTCCATGTTTGACAAAAAGCAAATTGTATACAAGTCCTCTCCACCTTGAACCTCTTTTCAGATGCGTAGTAAATCTTTTCATCATACAATTTATGACCACGACCATTCATCCCCTGACAGTTATCCGACAAGAGGGTCACAGGGCCTGGCCCGCCATAAACCCTCCCTCCCCTCCTTTTTCCGGGGCAGAGACAACTCAGCAAGCTAGAGCCACGCCCAAAGCTTTGCCTGCTTGGGCTAGTCCTATTAATGGAACTGGATCTAGATTTGCCTCCTTGATCACCATAGAAGAACAATTATAATGACCCGAGGTCATCTACGCAGGTAGCAGAAATATGCTAATCTCTGCGTATTTCAGATATTGCGCTAATCCAAGAAATCATAGATCTCCTCTGATTTTACCAGCAAAGTTACCAGAACGTATCCAAGTTTTAGATATATTCTCTTTTTATTTTGTTTTTATCATTTTTACTTGTTCCCATTGTTACAATCCATAAATCGTGGGGTCCGGCAAACGGCTGAAATTCATGCATATTTGAATCTTCGAACCGATGACAATTAGATTCTGGCCTTTATTGCTATGTTGGGTCTGTGTAGGCGCCAACACATCAGGTCGGTTAATTTTGACTGGGCTAGCCATTACGTGAAGATGTCACGTGCTATACGCGGGCACGACATTAAATATTTGATTTTGATTTCGTTGTCCTGATTTGGCGTCCTGTGGGCCCATGCAGGCGTTTATGAAACAATTTATATATTTACATGAGGGGGAAACCATACAATAAAGCCCCCTCCCCCTTTCATGTTTTCTATCTGTAGTCCTTCGGGTTGGATGGTGCAGTGGTACACCATTCGGGTCGTCCTCCCAAGTAGATACTGGGTAGCTTGAACACCTACCCCATTCGAGACAGGAGAAAGCTGGTTCGAATCCAGTGAAGCCCACACTCCACTCTCTCTCGCGGTGATATTTTACTTGTGGGATGATGAAAGCACACTCGGATAGCCATAGGTTTTTCACGCTTTTCCCTGTGGTGGGTATGCACGGAAGAGGTTATACGCCGTAAGGGTTAATCTCGAGTGGTATCTGCAAATGAAATCTGAGTGTGGGTGTTCTAAATGTCAAATTGAGTCATCCTAGTTGAAGTACATATCTTCCGATAAAAACCTGCATGGGCCTCAAGCCGCCAAATCAGGTAAAAAGAACTATATATATATATATCTGTAGTCCTTCGTAACCTACAGGGAGTGCAATCGGCCTTAAGTCCAAGACGAGACTAGCTTAAGTTGAAATTTACCTCGCCATTCTCTCCCTGCCCTCGCATGCCCAGAAGTGATGACTGTGGTCTTGTGTTTGACCCCGATGGCGCAAATATTTGGGGTGGTGGATTGACCAGAGACTATTTCCGCGGGCGTCCTGGACCTCTCTTAAATGACATTAAATATTGTAAATAAATAAATAAATAAAACGTTCGGCTGGCCGACACCTTCGTCATAGGAGAGCTCAGCACTCAGTGGCTTTTGAGACTTATCCATGCAGCTACACACCCGCAAATGGCCATCTTTTCGTTGGTTGGAGAGGGGAAATAATGATGAAATAGCGGCTCCTCCTAGTATGTACTCAAACAGGGACCTGTGAGAGTATAACTGTTGGAAAGAAGTCGTGATAGAGGCATAGATATTACCGGCATGAAGGCAGAAATGACCAATACGTCCGAATACAGTCATAGACTGAACAAGACAATAAACTAAAATAAACAATCACTACATTTCACCTAATCAACATCCAGTATCTTTGCATCATACTTTTTATGTAATTATATTTTAATACGTGGTAAGAATTCCTCATAGTACACACGCGAGAACGGTGGGACCGAAAATGATGGGAAATATTCGAGGATAATTATGCTTGAATTTGCTTTTGAACTTGATTCTGAAGCGAGCATTTTTGGATAGCCCAGCTACGCAGAGAAAACTCGGTGTTTTTCACTAGCATCGCTGAAAGATCAAGCATTTATCCTTTCCGGCCAGAACAAAATAAACGAGAGCATCTCCAAGGGGATGGCGGTTGAGGCTTTGTACCCAGCAATTGTGCTTTTACCGGTGGTTACTAATACATGTTATGCTATCCTCCTTTATTAGATAACTGAATTAGCTTACTTCTTTAACTATGTGATATGTGATTTCCGATAGTGATATCCCAAGTTCCAAAAGCGAGAGAGGCTTTGCAATCCGGGCATCCACTCTGATAATTTATCATCGGAAAACTTAGCCTAGTACCTTCTCGGCAGTAGTCACTTTGAAGAATCAGCAAGTTTTGGGACAATAGCTTTGCAATTCATACCGTCGAGGCCTGTGTTGTCTGGCTCACAGTAAACTTTCGAAACCTTACCATCTTCGATTTTGAGAGCATAACGCTTGCTTCTCTGGCCGCCGAAAATTGCACTTCCGTCAAAATTCATTTCGATTGCTTCTGTAAATCTAGCAGTTGGATCACCTAGAAAGCGAATCTAGAACGTTGAAGATATGAGTTATACTGCAACACGGAAAGAAAATGAGCTTACACTAGAAGTTTTCGTTGGGTCGAGTTGATCAGCCCATGCTTTGGTTCTGAGAAAATTATTGGCATTTAGTAAGTCATATTTATCCTTTCTACTACTCACACAAAAGGGTCATTAACAGAAACAACGAAAACTTTTCCGGCATTCTTCAGCTTAGGATGCTTTATGTATGCAGGGATGTGCGAATTAGAGCATGAAGGGCCTGTAAATTGTTACATCAAAGTCACCAGTAGCTTGACTTAGATATTGCAAAGGATTTGGAACCGTAACATACTGAAGGCGGCCGGAACCCCAATAATCAAAGCCTTCTTGCTACCAATAACTTCACATAGGTTAACTTTATTGCCTGGAGAGTCCTCGACGAGTAAATCAAGATTCGGGATCGTCTCGCCAACTCTGATAAAGGCTGTAGCAGAATGATTGAACCCCCGCCGAAGAATTGAAAAGGATGGAAGCCTTGACTGGCGTAGGTACATTGTGTTCATAATCACCAGAATATTACGACAAGTAAATAGTTTCCTTGCTAGTATGGAGAGTTAAAAATGAATAAAGACATTAGAGATAATTTACATAAGGTTTTATCTAGCTCGCATGTAAACACGTGAGCTTCAAATTTGTTTGAATAATGACTTGTTACGCCAACAACAAATGGTTGGAACTTGCTGTCAAACAAATCGGCTTTTTGTTGACATGCAAGCAATCGACAATTTCACGACTTAAAAAAATAAAAATTCGTGAGAACGAGTACTAGACTGATATTTCGTTACGTTCTGACCCTACTGAAGTCGTAACCCAATTAGATTCGAAGAGCCTAAACGTAGCCACAGCCTTCCGTGCCCCCCCCCCCCCCCCCTTCCTAGAAATATTCGAACAATTTGACCAACGACCTTCACTCTCTCAAACTAGCTACCTTTCGTCCCTCTAGCTTGTATGCAGGATTCCGTCAGTACCAGATATTAGCGTCTTCCTAGATCCCGGTACACCCTACCGATCAACTCCAACTGCTGTGAGCCATTCGAAACCGCTGGAAAATTCGACCAGCCAGAAAATAGAAGGACTGCAAGAGATTTGACTATTACTCGCTGATTGAGAATCTTTAAAATAAATATTGTAGTCAATTACTCTAAATATATTGGGACGTTTCATAACATGGACTCTGACGATGAGTATATGTCTGGTATGAGTAGCGATGGAGACCACGTTTTAGAGTACGAGAGTGACGATGGATCAGCAGACGGTACTCCTTTCTAAATGTTACCTCATGTTTAGGATACTAACCAGACTTCTTCTAAGAGTTTGATTTGGACGAGCCAGAACCGAATCTAGAATGCACCCACAAAAATCATATATTACAAGAGAAGACATATCACCAAGTTCCTTATAAGGTCTTTTGCCCTAATGATATTCAAGCTCAGCAGGAAAATTTTATCGACGAAGTCAACATGATCTTGGATCTTAGAAAGGAGGAGGCTGCCATCTTACTACGTCATTTTCGATGGAATAAAGAGCGTCTTATCGAAGAATACATGGATAATTCGAGGAGTGTGCTTGAAGATGCCGGCTTAGGAAGATCTAGTTCAGGCCCTCCTACTTTAGAGGCTATCCCCGGCTTTTCCTGTGATATTTGCTGCGAGAATAATGCTGGCCTACAATCATTTGCCATGAAGTGCGGTCATAGATACTGTATCGATTGTTACAGACAGTACTTGCATCAAAAAATTAAAGAGGAAGGGCAGGCAGCCCGTATTCAATGTCCGCATGATGGGTGCAACCGAATCATGGATGCAAAGTCGTTAGACCTCCTAGTCACACCTGAACTACGCAGTCGTTACCAGGAACTACTTACCAGAACATATGTGGTAGATAAAGAGAAGCTAAAATGGTGTCCAGCTCCAGACTGCGTAAATGCTATTGAGTGCGGGATTAAAAAAAAGGACCTTGTGAAAATTGTTCCTACCGTGACTTGTGATTGCAAGTATCGATTTTGCTTTGGATGTGGGCATGCGGATCATCAACCGGCCCCTTGTGAACTCGTCAAAAAATGGCTAAAAAAATGCGCCGACGATTCGGAAACTGCAAACTGGATCTCAGCAAATACTAAAGAGTGTCCTACATGTAATTCTACAATTGAGAAGAATGGTGGGTGTAATCACATGACATGTCGGAAATGCGGGCATGAGTTTTGCTGGATGTGTATGGGTTTGTGGTCCGAACACGGAACGAGCTGGTACAACTGCAACAGATTCGAGGAAAAGAGTGGATCTGAGGCACGAGATGTCCAAACAAAGTCTCGTGTTTCCTTAGAACGGTACCTTCACTACTACAATCGTTATTCGAATCATGAACAATCAGCCAAATTGGATAAAGATATTTTATTGAAGACAGAAAAGAAAATGATGATGCTACAATCAGCCTCGGGTATGTCATGGATTGAAGTTCAATATTTAAGTACCGCTTCACACGCTCTTCAAACTTGTCGTCAGACGTTGAAGTGGACATATGCTTTCGCATTCTACCTAGCGCGGAATAATCTGACTGAGATGTTTGAAGATAATCAGAAAGATTTAGAAATGGCCGTTGAGGCATTGTCGGAGATGTTTGAAAGGCCTATCATGGAACTTGCTGATTCTAAATTAAAAGTCGAGATTATGGATAAGACTTCATATTGCAACAAGCGGAGGCTGATACTTTTGGCTGATACGGCATACAATCTTGCAAATGAGGTATGGTCTTGGTCCATAGAATTCTGAGACCACAATGGCTTTGGTTTCAAATTTTAAGCTACGGAAACACTCGAACTTAATGTTCTGCCAGACTCCTACATTTAGGCACAACAGTTTTCAAGCTGTTTATGACTTTTTTTGCGTCAAAGATATTTCAGTGCCAGCCGGAACATGATCTGTCGGCCTAAATTACTCACTTATCCAGAGCATCACCTGCATCTGATAATAGGGTGTAAAGAAATATAAACCAAATAAGATGAAAAACTTTGACGTCTTTTGGTTTTTGCTTTGGAGATCCGCAACGTACCACAGTTTATGGAAAGTCTCACGTGTGAACTTTATAAATGCTGGGAGGAGATATTTGATCTCAATTTCGATATCACAGTTTGTTTTCTGGGCGCGCAGGCGGGTGAAGGATGGCGATATGTTTGGTGATTAATATCCACTGGCTGTGGTTAAGGGAGGGTCTGGGTAGCTGAGGTCAACTTATGTTCTTCTTGAAAGGTAAGAATACGTTTGAAACCCAACATCAAAATTAATAATATGATTATAATCATAAATATTATGCTTGGACATGAAATGATGTGCATAATTTTATTGCAGACGAGGTAATTAAGGCCAGCGGAGATAAATTCGGCTTAGTTATCTCGGGTAATCTCATGCAGATTAAGCCAGTTAATGTTCGAGGAAAATTCTCATTACAAGTAGCTGAAGCTTGCCTTACATCAAGTCGGGCATATAATTTGTGGCTTGTCCTCATATAATTTTGGAACGACTGGTTTTAACTTTTTTGATGAGAATACTTTTTAGTTCATCCTTCGTTGAAAAAATCATTGCTACTGTTGGTTTGATAGGATAGATCTCTGTGATATTAGAAGTAATGAGAATGGATTTGCTACTGAAGAAATGGTGGCTGGTTCAGATATGTATAAGTATATCTCTACGTGTCTATGGACGCCGCTGAAGCATCAATTCTTTTTGTATCCACTTGGTTGCCTAAGGCATAAATCCAATATCCGGCCTACTGAAGCAATTGCTCCGACAGCCACATGAATCAAAATACGTATAGAAAATATGAAGATCAATGACGTATACGGAAATGTAGATCATAATTTTTGCCAGAAAGCTGCGCAGCCTTGCACGCTGCGACTACCATCAAATTTACATTTTGAATCTTATTTTTTCATGTTCTTCACCCTCACCCCATCTCTTCACCTTCTGTGCTTCAAAAATGGCGGGTGTGGGTAAATCCAGCGGTCTCGACGCGTCGCAAAAATCGACAATGGCCATCAAAAATGAAGGCAGCGGGGCGTAGAAAGCTCCAATGGATAAGAACCTTGAAACCATAGGGAAACTACTGAAAAAGGTCAGACTAATTGTGATGGGCGAGATGGATGAGGAGGACTTGCCATACATGGAAGATGTCATGAAGCCGTGAAGACTTTTAATTGGTACAAAAAGGCCTGAAAAGCAATCTCCTAGATCCCGTCTTCAATCGAGGAGAGAATGATGGCGCTCGAGGAGGTCACAAAAAGAGCCTCGCGGACCCCGTTCGTAATATAGCTCCAGAAGTGGCAACTAAGGACCTACGCGTCGGTCGTGGCTCCGTAAATGGCGAAAACAGCGGTCACAATGAGAATCGACTAAGCAGAAAAATTGCAATCTGAAGAGCTGCTATCAAAGGTGAAACAATACATTCAAGGAGTATTCGTAGCTCGCCTGATAAGAAGCAACGACACCGGGGTGTTTGTACAGTCGGCGTCTCAGGAAGACACAGCGCTCAACATGCGACAACTAGCCGACTTTCAAATTTTGGGTCAAGATTTTCCAGTTGAAGTTTTCGCTGTCCCACTGCGGACAAGAATCAAAGGGGGTATAGATGCCAATAACCACGCAATTATTAGGAAGATCGAGACGGCGACTAGGGCTCAGATTTCCGGTCTCACAATTAATAGAATACGATGATTACATGACGGAAAGGAACACCAGTGGTTAAAGAAAAATGGCTGCACTCGTTGAACAATTGTGGTCAGCCTCCCGTAGGAGGCAATGCAAACGGAAGTGGCCCGAAACGGCCATGTTATCAACGCTATGCTCTTCATAGCGTAAGTGTGGTCATCACGGGCCCAGCCAAAGCAGAATTTCAATTGCAGCCAGTGGAGAGATACACAGGCTCTATATAGAAAGACAGCCAGATGCGGTGAGTGCGCTGGCGCTTACCAAACTTGGGGCTGCCTAAGGTAAAGAGTTTCTTGTGCAAGCTGCGGTAAGGAACACCGTTCATGGCAAAAAGTACCGTGTTGAACCTACCAGGTCTACAAGGGAAGTGTGGAGAAGGCTTGGATGGAACTGCTCTAGAAAATGGCAGAAATATAGAATGAAAAACGCACAACGGTGCCAGTGCGAACAGTTGGAACGACTGATGATCAAGGACTTATTGCGGTTGTCAGTAAGAAGGCTGAAGGACTAAAAAGAGAGCCGGGACGACCGCGCAAGGTAGTCGAAGCACCAGTAGTACCAACCATTTCGTCGACAGTAGCACGACCATCGGAGTTAACAATTCGACGACAAACGGCGAGTGAGGAGGTGCCTTCTCTATTCAATTTCTCATAGAGTAGTCTGATCGAAGGGGGAGTTGATGAAATTTGTGGAAAGTTTAAAAAGTAATTGACGAAGGAAACGACCTTGGCATGAAGCTGGGTCGATTCAAAGTGGCAGGACATCGGGTTTTATTTTCTTAAAACTTTTTCCCCGACCAAAACGGCTCACCATATTCATGGCTCTGTATATAGATACCGCATAGGACGTTAAACTAGAGCCATGAAGGAATGGATAAAGATCAGTCTCTCAAACAACTTTTAGTACCAAAATAATCTACAAACTAGCTGGCAAAGACGAATTCTTCACCTTCCAGTGATGCCGGTGTAATCGCTCAGTATGCTCTGCATATCTAGGATAGCCAAGAAGAATCGCATCCGAATCGAAGTCGAAAGCAAACACATGCATATCTCCATTTGAAGACTTCTCAATCATGCAGCACTCACCATCATCTTCTGAGCCCTCAACCCCGATATAACCACATATCATCTCGCCTCGCCGACCGATAAAGGCGTCATCCCAATTGCAAACAGGAGCTTGCCTCATTTATTACCGGCCATCACTCACTACCAATTTACGACGCTACGTATACCCGCAAGGAGGAAATCAAGTCGAAAAACACAAAGTTGGGGTCTTGGTTTATGGGGGACTGCTGCTCTAATGGGGTTATACATCTTGAGGAAGGACAGGCGGCTGAGATGTGGAGCGAGAGGGGAAAGAGGTCTCTGGAAACCGTAACGGGACTGACATTTTCGAGGAGTTTTCAACTTTGGATTTTTTGTGGGCGCCAAGACTAAGATTTCGGCTAATTAGCCAGGAGGGCTTCTTTTGTCGATGAGTCAACGGCTCTCCCCAGCGCCCTGGATGGTACAAAAGAAGTTGGGCTAAGCTACTATACAGCAATCACGCTCTGTCAAGACTTTTCTGACATTTCAGCACGACCTTCGGGAAGGAGTTGTAAGGAGGCTAGAAAGGCAGAGTGTGAATTTCCCGAGGTACCCACAAGTCTGCAGCGCCCAGCTGGCCGGCCTCTTCGAACGCATCAGAAGGATCACTATGTCTTCGGATTTAGTCCTAATGTCGGTATTAGGAGAGCTCCGCACCCAGTGGTTTTTTGCGATTTTTCCCGGCTGCCATACACCCGCAAATGGCCATCGTTTAGTTAGCTGGAGAGGGGAGATAATGAAGGGCTAAGGGCTCCTCTAAGTGTTTAACCGTAAGAGGACTCATGAGGGGCGGCACTGTTTGAGGGGAGCTGTATGGGAGGCATAGGAAGGGATATACTACTGGTATAGGTATCCTTGGCCTATAGGCAGAGAGGACCTGCATGTCCTACATAGTCATAGACTCAGACAGGACAATAAAATGAATTAAAAAAAAAATCTACAAACTAGCTATTTTATCTGGCTTATGGAATTAGCGAGATTTTAAAGGTTTGAACCTGGGGATTTAAAATCTGCTGTAGTCTTATATTCTATTCCAAGAGAAATATCGACAACTATTTCTTGCCTTGGCTTAACTTTCTTATCTCACTCTACCAAAATTATACGCGAAATATGGCAAGATTCTATTGGAATTATATCGACGATTCCAAATCTCAAAGAGAGTCGATGGTAGTACTGCTATCAGTACACTTGGAAATTACCCTAAATGAGACGCTGGTTGCACCGGTATCAAGGTCAAAGGCAGAGGAATTTAATTAGGCTGAAATGAACTGACTAGATATGAATTTGATTTGAATGGGATTTAATTAACTTGATTGGATGTTATATGGGCCTATGCAGGATTTTCTATTAACTATTCAATGGTTATCCAGCTTCCTAGACATGACATATGGTCAGTATCATTTGTACACGTTGGATTATTCTTATGATGCAAAAGACACTTTTATTCTAAATTTCATTTACAACTATCTCTATGAGGTATCTTTACTCACGCAGAACAATTGACCCATGTCCATGAATATCTTCCAAGGAGAAGTCTTGAGTCCTGAGGTCATCCAAGCATGCCTTCATCCTCCATGTACACGAGCACTGCTGTAGACTTGGTCAACTTCTATCGAATTCGAGCTAGCAGTTTCCTGTCTCAAATGGGATAGTTGAGCTATCCAGAATCTACTCGGGAGACCGGCTCGTAAGATATATCACCGCATCATCAGACCATGTCGGTGTTGTTGTGTCGCCTTCGCTCTCGCAATCGAAGGCTTGGCACACACAATGCTCTTCAAGTTGTAAAGCTACTCACCATAATTCAATATTTTATCCCTTTTGAAATTGCATCCAGCGTTTGCATCATCCAATCTACTCTTCTTAAGCTCTCTCACATCCATCCCAAAGATTTGTCACACAAATCTGTGTGCCACAAGTCTTGTCTTCCAACAGAAGTTTGTATTTCTGTGGGTGCGTATTTGGAGTCCAGCTGAGGTAGGAGTACAAGTCAGAGTTGTTTTCATTGAATTCAGGGCGTACTAAGTCGTGTTTGTAAACTTGATAAAGTGTTAGTGGGAATCAACCTCGTTATCCGAGACATAAAAACATTATTTTTAAATTTAGTAATCTATTCTGTAATTTATCTCTGATAATGTGTCACATCTAAGTAATCGCACACGCGATTAAGATCTGATAAAAAAAAGATAAAAAGAACTGATGTCGTTGGGAGAGATAACTCGGTTTGGAGGAGAGTCGTGAGTTATTGCTTTTTATCTGTATATAATAGGGAAAGTTGAAAGTATTATGTGCAATTTTTGTAGGAAAGAAAGGCAGGATGTGCAACACCTGTTGTCACATTGTCCTTAATTCAGAAATAAGAGAAATGGATATTTTCAGGGCAAAGAGCCCTGAACACTTCCAATGAGCAGATACACACTATTTGGGGAAGAAACAAATACCAGTTCGCTTCTCTTCTCAGTCTCTTTATATGAGGGGCTTTCGATAACGCCTCCCACGAATGGCTAATCCACAACCTAAGAGTAAAAGGTATTCCAGGGTGGATCAGTAGATTTGTACAATCATACCTAGAAGAGAACTACCTCGGCAGTCCCCGGTACATACAGAGGAAATCAAACCCCTACCAGCACAGGAATATCTCAAGGGTGTAAAGGGTTTAAAGAATTCAGAAGTACTTGAAAGACGTTAACTCAATAGGAATTGATAATTTTTCCTTGGGAAGCTAATCTGCCTACGACGGCTCCTGTCCTTTATGTCCTCCTCAGCGTCGCGTTTAAGCTCCCCTCCTAGCCTACCTGAGAATACTCCATTCTCCCCGGCTACCCTCTTTCCTGTGACATCCTCCCCCCCTTAGTACGTACTCCCTTGGGTCCTTCCTCATGCGCAACCTTGCAATTATCCTTATGCAACACTGAGACTCGTTCTTGTGCGCAACCTTGCATTAATCCTTATGCGACACTTAGATCCCTCTTTGTGCGTATCCTTGCATTCTTCCCCATGCAACCTTTCGCGTCTCTATAAGCGCTGCTTCGTTGGCGCTTAAAGATCTAGCCGGGTTGGTCCTAGTGACCAGTCCCAATCCGGGCACAGCCCGTAACAAAGGGTCATCTTTATCGCCGATTCTTTTTCCAATCTTCGTTAGCACGCTCCTACCAATACTACAAACTCTTTTTTCTTCTGCTGTTGGGTTCGTAGGCGATACTAACATACTAACATGTTCAAGTACCACTGAAGTGAACTGCAAGAAGTTAGAAGAATAGCACGGGATGTGCGAGGCGTGGGCAGAAAATAACAGCGTGAAGTTCGCGCCAGAGAAGTACCAGCTCATGCACTTCGCACGAGCAAGGAAGCGACAAAACCTAGAAGCAACTTTCAGCATACAAGGACATCTGACATCTTCCCAGTCATCCCTCCGAGTCTTCGGAATCTACTTCGACCCTAAGCTTTAATGGGACTCCCACATTAAGCATATTGAACAAGAGTCACACAACCAGGTACAGTCGATAAGTAGGTTGACGCAGTCATCTTGGGGTGCAACATTCAAGAAGTCAAAGCTTTTGTACAGCTCAATTGTGAGAACAGCCCTAACTTACTGGTGTTCAATATGGGCTGCAGCTAGGCCAACGGGTAGAATACTAGAAAGGACAGTCAAACCATTGCGAAGTATCCAAAGAAAATTCTTGAAGCTAGTTACAGGGGCATATAATTCCACCAGCAGTAGAGCTCTAGATCACGAATGCTCAATCCTTCCACTTGACATCTACCTCAAACAAATGAGAGTTCAACATATCGGACTTACGGAAGGACAATCTATCCAGCAGAAAATTCTATCAGCATGTAGTAAAATATCGCAGGCTTATAGCTTGAGCGAAAATAGCCACGCCAAGAATCGAAGCTGAGATAATAACGAGTGGAAAAAAACCTGCAGAAACGAAAAGGTGAGGCGTAGACAAAAAGAAGTGGGTAAAATAGCAGCATTCCAGGAGTAGGAAAGCGTATGGAAGACTTTGAAGGAAGAGCGACCATCTTCTCATCAGGCGTCAGCAGACCCAGAACATTGGAAAGCAGCAAGTACCAACACCGACAAGAGAACAGGCAGAAAAAGAATCACCCACAGAAATACACCCTCCAACATCCACCTAAATCTGGGCAGTGCCCAAAGTAGTATTGCGATACAGATGAGCAGTGAGCATATCGGCCTCAACTCTTATCTTTATGGAAAAAAGGTCCCTGGAGTGGCAAATCCAAAGTTTCAGTGTAGTATCTGTCAAAAAACGTGAAAATTACGGTCATGGCTTGTCCTTAATGAGCTAAGAGAAGAGGAGAGGTACTTCAAAGGGTAAAGATAGGTCTTTCGAAGCTATGATGAACAGCCCGGATGACATGAAGAGAATTACAGAGTGGATACTTACTAACAGCTGGCTTGAACAGTTCCGGCTTACAGAAGAAGGTGAGACAGTAGTCAGTGAAAGGATTGAGCGATCGGGAAAAAGGTAGGACGGTATTCACACTGGACGTACAATGTAAACGCACTTCCTGTAGGACACCTCAGAAAACCAATAGATAAAAAACAGACAGCTTTGGTGGATTTTTACCGAGTTGTTTTCCTCCCTTGTAAATATTATAGCTAGATATACCTGCATGGGCCCATAGGGTATCTGAACGGGATAAATGAAATGAAATCAAACACTTCCAATATTATTTCGAACAAAGATAAGAAAGCAAGCTCTTCATAAATATTTGTACGCATCTAACTGCATGGTAGCACACAAAGGATATTAAAACAGGAAACACTAATTAGAAATTAAACAGTAATTGAGTAGATTATATGTAAGGAAGAAGTTTGGGGAATATATGTTATGTAAATAACATGCCATAGCTAGGAAGCTGAATACACTATGAATAAAATAAAAGAGTTATTGCTTGGTAGGTGAATCTTTTCGATGCTGGGAAATTTATCTAGTTATTAAATTTAATTTATTGTCCTGTCTAAGTCTATGACTATGTAGGACATGCAGGTCCTCTCTGCCTATAGGCCAAGGATACCTATACCAGTAGTACATCTCCTCCTATGCCTCCCATACAGCTCTCCTCAAACAGTGCCGCCCCTCATGAGTCCTCTTACGGTTAAACACTTAGAGGAGCCCTTAGCCCTTCATTATCTCCCCTCTCCAGCCAACGAACCATGGCAATTTGCATGTGTATGGCAGCTGAGAAAAATCGCAAAAACCATTGGGTGCGGAGCTCTTCTAATACCGACATTAAGACTAAGCTCGAAGACATAGTGACCATTCTGAAGCGTTCGAAGAGGCCGGTCAGCTGGGCACTGCAGACTTGTGTGTACCTCGGATAATTCACACTCTACCTTTCTAGCCTCCTTCCCGAAGGTCGTACTGAAATGTCAGAAAAGTCTTGATAGAGCGTAATTGCTTTGTGGTAGCTTAACCTAACTTCTTTTGTGCCGTCCAGGGCGCTGGGAGTGCCGTTGACTTATCAACAAAGGAAGTCCTCCTGGCTAATTAACCTAAATCTTGGTCTTGGCGTCCACAAAAAATCCAAAGTTGAAAACTCCTCGAAAATGTCAGTCACAGCATGGTCTTCAGAGACCTGTTCCCCCTCTCGCTCCACATCTCAGGCGCCTGTTCTCCCTCAAGTTGTTTCTCCCATTAGAGAAACGATCCCCCATACGTCAGGACCAAGGCTTTGTATATCATGACTTAATTTCCTCATTGCGGGTACACATTGCGTCGTAAATATGTGGTTGGAGATGGCTGGTAATTAATTGGGCAAGCTCATGTCTGCAATTGGGGAAAATCTATGTTGGTCGTTGAGGCGAGATGATGCGTGATTGGAAAGAGATTGAGGACTCAGACGAGAATGGTAAGAGAGGCATTATCGAGAAGTCGTCAAATGGAAAAATGCTTGTGTTTGCTTTGACTTCGATTCGATTGCGGTTCTTTTTGGCTATCCCAGATATGCAGAGAACACTGAGCAATTACACTAGTGTTACTGGAAGTTGAAGAATTCCTCTTCGTCGGCTCGAAATCTGACAAGTCTCCGGTCAGGGTGAATATTTATCTACTAGGTTCGTAGAAGAGACTGCAGAAAGGTTCTGAGTCTACATTCTCGTGCTAATTGGACATATTCCATACAAATTAGTTCTTCAAGGAATTAGAAATTATGAAACAATTGAATATAATATAAGCCTGTTTAGTTTCTTCATATTCAATGTGTGGCTAGAAGAAGATCAGCCGTCTAATAAGAGAACGTGTGCAGGTTAGCAAGTCGCTTAGTCTGGACTCTGTAGATAAACTAAAAATTTACGTTCCATTGAAATTTTGCTTCCTGTGCGTTCGGAATTAGAACTTCACACGCCCGTCCAATAGCCTCTAGACTTTGAAAACTAACAGCAAACATGCCAAAGAGTCTTGAGAAGACACAAAAAAAAATTAATAAGAAGAAAGGAAAAGTAACCGCTCTTCATGAAAACTCAAGGGATTCTCAAAGATTGAGGAGGGCCCAAGGGCGAGATGATAAGCTTGTTAGAGTCGCATCAGCAAGGAGGAAAAACAATCGCCCACTACGTGAGGATCCTGATAATGATGATTCCTAGCATTCGACTAAAATTATAAGTGGAGCGTGCGGTCTTCTTTCAAGAAGCAGCGAGACGGAACGAAGGGAAGCCATTGGAGCTGAAGGCTATACAGGCTCTAATTGATTCGTAAGTTTCGGTAGGAGCAAGGGGAAATGTTTTAACGCCTAGGAGATTCGTTTCCCAGTTTGACGAAGAGCTCTGTCAGTTGAAAAAAGACCGGCGACCCGGTCGACCAGCCAGCGCACGAGAAGATCTAGTAAAGATGAAGATTGATAAAAGTGGCAAGGAGCACCGAGATGGGTTCTGTGCGGATATCTTAGACCTCACCACAATTTCCGCTGACAAATGTCTTAGATTTACCAGACTTGATGGATGAAACCAACCTCCTTCATCTAGACAAGTGGCAGGGAGAGTGGTCATATCTCTCGAATTTGAAATGGGTTCGAATATCCCAAGATGGCCAAGTACTGGATTCCAAATTCCCACCAAAGGGAGAAGCTTAGATTTTCGACACAGAATAGTAAACTGATAATTAGTTGTGTATGCAGTGAAGCTGGGCGCTTAGGTGTTGAGGAAATTGAGATGCATTATATTCTAACTGAATTGTATGATGAGTTTATCAACCAAACGTTGCAATCTCCTAAAGTCATATATCCATCATTAATCGACCTCTTATTATCGTCATTGGAAACACTGGTGAAATCTATAGGTGAGATGCAGTGCTTTATGCAAAGTTTACGCCAAAATACCCTACGAACAAGGCCGTGTCATTAGAGCTCGGGAATATAACCCTTGGTCTCGAATTGGAAAGACAGTTAGGATGCCGCAAGCAATTATAAAATCAAGATGTAGTGAACTATCTAGTTGTGATATTTGCAGAATGCCGAACGGCTCTGCGACAATGGAGAATATCCAGACATGAACTACCACCAAGATGACGGGTTATGATGGCAGAAAACATATGGGAGGAATTCTATAAATCCTAATCATAACGAGATATTACGGAGGGCAATTTTCACGTCGAGAGGGCTTATCTATCTCGAGACTAGAACCTCTTAGCAAATTGATATGAAATTTGGCAAAGCGTAGGGCATTTTTTGTTTAGGCAACTCTCTTGATCTAGTCTTTCATGTACTTACTCGGCCTAGAAAGCTGAACGGATAGGTAGTAATTGGTCTTCGGAGATCACACACCCGTAGCATGCCTCTTGGATATAGGGCTCTTGCCTGATATAAAGTTAATTCACACATAAATACATATCTGGTGCGGGAGACTATTCTCAACATCTATCAGTGGTGTCCCCTACAAACCTCCAGCTCTCACTGTAGAGTCTACAGAGCCGAGATTTAGTAACAAAGTCCTCACTTCGACGAGCATTCCCAGTCGCTTTCGCGGTCTGTATCGTCTTCATCTCTCAACACATTCCCCTATCACCACTATCATGCAACTAACCACGATCAGATCAGATGGTAGGGTCGGAGCCCTTCTCATCACCAACCCTTGATCATGGAGGAGAAGCCATCCAATGAGTTTCCGGAGCGCACCCAGCACCCGATACAGAGATGGCGAATTGGATCAAGTCGGCCTCGAATGTTACAGAGAAGGGAGATGTAGATGAATATGCGCACCTCATGTGGTCCCGGTGTTTAGGCCTCGCCTGGCTGTGGCTGTAGGGTTTTGAAGACTTTTTTCTGCGCACGCAGTTTCCATTGCTACCATTTTTATTTTTTTGGGTAGAAGGTTCCGTGGAAAAGACGGTCAAATTTCACCGGTTAACACTGAGCTGAATGGCTATTCATCACGGGCAATATATCAATAATCTTTCAAGTAACAAAAGAGGATAGGAGCACTGTACAAGGTGTGGCCTGGGTCAGAGAGGAGCCCCATGTGCTAGATAGTCATTGACTCAAGTAGTACAATAAAATACACACACATATCTGGTTCGCCTAGCTGGCCGGCCTCTTCGAACGCATCAGAAGGGTTACTATGTCTTCGGATTTAGTCCTCATATCGGTATTAGAAGAGCCCCGTACCCAGTGGTATTTTCGATTTTTCCCGGCTGCCATACACCCGCAAATGGCAACCGTTTCGTTGGCTGGAGGGGGGAGACAATGAAGGGCAAAGGACTCCTCTAAATGCATGATCGAGTGAGGACTTATGAGGAATGGCACTGTTTGAAGGGAGCTGTATGGGAGGCATAAGAGGGGATATACTGCTGGTATAGATATCCTTGGACTGTAGGCAAAGAGGACCTGCATGTCCTACATAGTCATAGACTCAGACAGGACAATAAAATGAATTAATAATAATACATATTTGGTTGTTACACGTATAGATGTAAGTTCCTAACACTTCAATTTCTTTGAGGAAGGTCCCATTCTAGTGCACTACTTTATACTTATCGTAAGCTTTCACGTATTTGGGTTAATCGAAGTATTTACATTGAGCCTAGGTTCCTACTCTACTTTTTAAAGTAAATGAAAATGGTCGAGATTCTGTTACCCTATAGGCTTTCTCTCTCTGATCTCCGAACATCATACAGTGGAGCACCAGATACTTGACACTATATTTTGCCATTCCAAACAAGTTGCATGTGATGTCTTTCTTGATTACTTTTTTCAGATAAACCCTAGCGTTTCCGATCCTAGTTCTTGCTTGAAAAATCTTTGACTCTGATTGCGTGCTATAATCATAAAGATTGGCGAGCTTTAGTGACAAGTTGGGCACATTTGTCTTTGCTTACCTCCCGTGTTACTTAGCCAATCCTCAAGGTTTCCTTTGTTCCTCTTCACGTATTGATACGAGATTCTTTTCTGTTCAAAGTCCGTAATACTCATTCGCTCACTATTCCAATTTTGAGATAATGTGATGAGCATTGGTCTGTTTTCAACAGTCGATTTCAAAAGCATTTCCTATCTCTATGCCGTATGAAAGTGGTATTGAATGAGGCAGCCGATGAGTTGGCAGGGGGATCCAACTGCATCTGGATCTCGGCATTGAGCAAGGGTGGTCTAGGCGATAAAGTAAAAACCTCGATGCCTGCGCTGTGTAGTACAGAGCCAACTAAATTTTCAGCATCAAAGCGTTGCCATATCATATTACTTACCCAACTCTAATAGCACTATTACAAACCCTTAATGATGCTTTCTGTTAGAGCGATTGCTCGAGTGGCTTCATCTAGAACAGTCTATCAGACATCCAACTTCTCAGCAGTCACGAAATGCATACCTTTCTATTCTGCTTCCCGCTCGCATCCAGCATCGAGGCCGATACTCAAACAAATCTCACACTTTTCAGTATCTAGCATCTCAAGAAGCAAGAAAGCAGGAGGAGACGAAGACTTAGTAGCAAAGCTTCAGTCGGAGATTGATCTGGAGAATGATATAAAAGAAGACTCGTCTCAGCCCCAAAGTATCAAAGATTATTTATCAAACAGCCCTTTTAGTATCACTGACATACCCGGACAAGAAGATGTCACTCTAAAGCGTACATATGGTGACGAAAAGTTTGTTTCTCTCTACTCATGGCATAAATTTTCTGACAACTAGATTATTAGAATCCAGATAACATTCTCTATCGCCGATTTAAACATGGATCCAGACCCAGAATTCAATGACCGTGCATTTGGCGATGAAGAAGAAGAAGGAAATGAAGAGAGTAATGAGCAGAAGACCCCGGAGGAAAGCGAGGAGGAACCCGCACTTCCGAACCGCTTAAACATTATTGTGGAAAAGCCGAACCATGGTGCTCTTCTAATTGATGCTGCTGTACAGGATGCAGTTGTCATGATTGAAAACGTCTTTCATTATCCAGACGCTGCCCACGCTTATGCCAAATCTCCCGAGAAACTACACGAGAGACAAGACCTATATGTCGGTCCACCGTTCGGCAACCTAGATGAAGATCTACAGGTCTTATTTGAGAGATATCTTGACGAAAGAGGCATCAACAGTGCTTTGGCCTTATTTGTTCCAGATTATATCGACGCGAAAGAACAAAAAGAGTATGTGAGATGGTTAGAAAACGTTAAGAAATTTGTAAAAGCTTAATCCGAAGGATTTGGATCTCGTGGCTTTGCACAAGCAGAGTTCTGTAATAATAAACTAGGGAAAAATGTAATTTCAAAAAAGGTTGTAATAAAAATCTATCTATTAAATATTATTTGCCTCTATACCATTTAATTATCAGTAAAGAATTGCTAGAAACCACAAATTGTAAGGAATTATGATGTGGTGATATGGGAATTACTAACCAACAGCCAAGCTAGTCAAATATCTTGATATCTCCAATACGTAAAAAGTGATTCTGATGCTATGTAGAAAAAGTTTTCGAATTTGAGTATGTCTATCGACTTATGCCTGTTACTCAGATGTGGATAAAAGCTCGCTACCTCTTAGCAGAGTCGTCTGCAAGCTTCCAGCTCTCACTGTATAGTCTGCAGAGCCTAGATAGAGTAACGTCTTCTCAACTTTAAGCTGAGTTAGTTCTCCTTCTCAATGAAACGCCTCCTACAACCCACGTGAAGATCAATATGACAGTGACGATGCCGGGAAAGAGCAGAGATAATGCGGTATCAAACTATTCAACTGTAGAAAGAGAAGCCCTCATTACATCACAACATGCGCTACCCACCGGAGGGCCAGCAAAAGCCCACAAAAGCAAAGTTAAAGATGTTTCCAAATTTAAGGAAATCTGATTTAAACTCGTAGATAAAATTATCTCTACTCACCTTTAATCCCGAATCTCCTAGCCAAAAGGGCATTTAAAGCTTTTGTAATTACTTACGGTTGTATCGAACGAGCCTGGCCGTACAGATTACCTGGTGCTAGTCACGCATAGACTATCAAGATACACATCTGATGTTTGGAATAAAGGACATAACTAGACGCATAAGTATGTATATATGCCGGAACACAAAAAAAGTACATGAGTTGCTCAACAACCACACGCCCGTAAGAACTTTTGTCCTTCAATGCAGTACAGAAGTTTTTTTTACTAATGAGAAGATTATCCGTCACCTAGATCAGTAGTCTTTTAATTTGAGCTCTAGCGAGTGCTGGCCACGGATCAAAAGGTCGGAGTACTAGTTAGTGTCGTTGTTGCATTGCTTCCAAAAAGCAATTAACTAAAAGCTAGAGCCTCACAGGTTGTGCTGTGAGAATGAATAAAACATGTCAACGTTTAAGTACGTGGTAGTATAGACATAATGCTGCGAAGCTAGAGTCTTTTGATACGGAGTTACGGGTGAAATTTTTTTTTAAATTCTAGGATTCTGGATTCGTCATGATTCTGCATTTAAAAAGACCCGGCATGCTACTCATCATTTAGGTGGCACAGGGTGTGTGTTGTACCATTGAGGTAGCACACCTGACCCAGCCCGGCTCCTCGCGCTTTCTCATCAGAAGAGCGATGGGCACCTGTTCCTCACACGCCAATTAAAAAAACAAATGATAATAGTTCTAATGATATATTTTTCATGAGATCCATGAATTTTGCTGCAGCAATCGATTTCTTTATCATTTGAGCAGGAAATATTTTATAATATTATGAAGTTTGATAGATTTAGAGAGAATTTTCAGATCTGACTTGTTACAGCGTTAAGGCGCTATAATATATTACTTTACAGCATAAGTCTAAGATTTTCAGAAACTACAAATGAAGCTTCTGTCTTGCTTTGAATTTCTTCTACTGTGATCCCTTCTGCAATCTCAATGAGAGTCAATCCTGTCGAAAAATTCACTTCAAACACACCCTGAATAGTCAGACAATCCTCTCTAAGACTTAATTTTACTTACTAAATCCGTAATAATCAAAGAAACACAGGATTTACCTGTTAATGGAAAGGTGCATTGCCGAAGAATTTTTGGTCTGCCTTGCTTATCTGTATGTTCCATAGTTACAATTACCTTTGTCCGTTTTGGATTACTGACTAGATCCATTGCGCCCCCAAATCCCTTTATTTTTCCTGGTAGCATCCAACTTGCTAGATCTCCGTTGCCACTGACCTGCATAGCACCAAGAATACTGAGATCTATACGACCGCTTCGAATCATGCCAAAGCTTTCTTCACTTCCAAACACTGAAGCGCCTACATTGAGTGTGACAGTTTCCTTGCCGGCGTTAATGAGATCTGCATCCTCAGTTCCTTTGATAGGGTAAGGACCTAGGCCAATTACCCCATTCTCAGATTGGAGTTGTACATCAATCTCTGGTCCAACAAATGCTGGTGCTAACATTGGCATTCCAATACCCAGATTTGCATACATACCATTCTTGAACTCCTTGGCGGCCCTTCTTACAATTCTCTTACGTCTCTCTTTTGTTGGCCCGTGGCCAAGAGAATTTTCGATACTGGAAACACTTGAACTTGTTGAAAAGGTATATTTTTCGATTTCTTTTGGAGTTGTAGATTTGATAACGCGACTAACATATATTCCAGGTAGGTTTACAGCTTCAGGTGATATTTCTCCAAGCTCAACTATATTTTCTGCTTCCACAACTGTCATATCGGCACATCGACCCATGACACCGTTGAAGTTGTTTGCTGTGAGACGAAACTGACAGTTTCCCAGCCTGTCAGCTTTCCAGGCTTTTATAAAAGCATAATCTCCTCTGATTGAGTTCTCGAGAAGATGTGGCCTCCCATCGAAAACCTTAACGTCTTTAGGGGTTGAATATTTTAGGGGCTTCCCGTTTGCATCATGGCTTAAAGGAAGATCACCTGTCTGAACCACTGTGCCGACTGCTGCAGGTGTATAGAATGCAGGTATTCCCTTTCCCCCACAAGCGCATCTCTCAGCTAAAGTACCTTGGGGTGTGAGTTCCAACTCGATTTCTCCGCTTAAATACATTTTTTCGAATGTCTTGTTCTCACCGATGTAGCTCGCGATTATTTTCTTAATTTGCTTAGTAGCCAACAGTTTACCTAGCCCTGAAGTATCAGTTCCGGCATTGTTGGATACAGCTGTGATACTAGAAATGTGTGGCTTTTTAGTGAGTTCATTAATTAGGGTATTTGGCACTCCACAAAGTCCAAAGCCTCCAAAGAGAATTGTCGTATTAGACTTGATATCTTCAAGCGCAGTAGCAGCAGAGGGGAAGATTTTCGATAATTCATATTTATGAGATGTTGAACCAAATTTCCGAACAGTCAGCCTGTAATAATATCCTCTGTTAGTATAAGTAGATAGGGAGTTCTATCAGTGATTCTGCACACTCTCATCCAATCACTTTTAGATCCAGTTCTATAGCTACAAGCAATCCGTGAGGAAAAGAGTATTCGTTTCATTGTGACGAGAAGTGGGTGTAAGTAACCTACAAGTAGCAATTAGTAACTTTAGAACTACAGTTTCAGTGATCATGAAAGACTTGAGATAAATCCACACCTCAGAACGATTGTTAGCGTGAGTGCATTAATCACCAGCATCAACAGTTTGAACTGTAATGGTCAGGTTACTGTTCTATATATTAAGACCATTACGGCCAGCGACGTGGCGACCATGAAGGGATGATAGAGTAGTGACGTAATGATTTTCCAAGGGCTTTGAGCTGATGTTTCATCGGCATCGCAGCAATGAACTTCGATCCGCAGCTATGTTGGAAGGCATAGCCGCGATAACTTGCAGCTTCACCACGTTGCTCCAATAGAATCTTGCCCCTTAGGCACCTGACACTTGAAATGAATGATTTCTCTTGAACAAAACGTACTCTATGACATAAATAGTTGCCGGCATCAGATGACCAACATGGGCATCCAGTAGTTGAGCTACTGACTAGCGCACACGGCTAATTAAGTTAAGCAGTGTTCGTGCCGGGGATATAACCATGTCGGATTACTTTATGCCTACAATACCCGGATCTGGTACAAATCTCTTAACATACCTCATTTGAGTGCGAATAAACAGTGTCATGGCTAGATATGCCGTATACACAAAATGATTTACAGGAGAAAAGAACTCGAGTATGGGAAAAATTGTCGATAATAGCTGCTGCTTTTCGGCGTCTAGTACCAGTCTCATGAGGTAAGTTCTAGAAAAAGATTCAGCTAATTCTGGTCTGGCATTAAATGTGAGTGAGGCAGTGCCTTTCCTTCAAAAAGTGGCGATATTCTAAGTTCCGCATTATTGTAATAATTACGACCTCCTCTGAAAAATAAGCGTAAGAAGCTATTTAACAATTGTCTCAGTCACATGTGGAATAAGCTGTCAGCACTGCTGATCTTGTCATTGTAACCTTGTATGGTATTAAGCTAAACTAGCACTGAATATGAGTGAGATGATCTCTATCCCGAGATCTAGAAATCATAAAAGCGACGCAGGGATCCTGACCGGTCTAGAACTTCTGCGAAGCAATTATGTGTGTTTGTTCGTGTTTATTGTCCTATTAAGACTTCGACTACATAAAAATATGTAGATCTTTTCTGCCTACAGACCGTGAGTATCTATGCCTCCTTCACGACTTCTTTCTAGCAGTAATACCCCCACAGGTCTTCTTTTTTTAAGAAAAAAATCAATAATGTGTATGCAGCTATAGAGCTATGACACATGACTGGTGCTATGTATACATGTGGGATGACTCTTTTGACATTAGAGACACTCATACTCTAGATTTCATTCGCAAATACCACTATGAGGTATGTTCGCTTACACAAACAGTCGACCCTCCTTCGTAAGTACCCACCAAAGGGACGTTTCAAAAACCTCTGGTTATCCAAGCATGCCTTCGTCATCCATGTATACCAGCACCGGGAGAAATGTGGTTGTGTTTTGCCGGATTTGAACCAGCGATCTACTGTCTTGAATGGGATATGTGCCCAAGCTATCCAGACTCTACTTGGCAGACCGGCCAAGACGATGTACCACCGCACCATCCAACCATGGCGATGTTTATAGTGTCGCCTGCACTCTCGCAACCCAAGCCTTGGCACGCACAAAGCTCAATTTGTAAGAACTCCTTGCCGAAATTCAAAATTCCACGCCCGTCGAGACTGTAACCATCCTTCGCATTAGCTTGTGAGCTTGTCCTGAATCCTCTCACGCCAATCCCAAAGAACTGTCTCTCGGATTTGTGCGCCACGCTTTGTGTCCTCCGTCGGGTATAAATATCTGCGTAGGTGTGTATTTGGTGACCGGCTGAGGCCAGAGAAAGTCGACGAGAGGTGTGGTCATTGGAATAAAGATGTACAAGGTCGTATTTGTAGACTTGATGAGGCTTAGTTAGGAACCGGCCTCTCTGGGAGTGAAGATTTGACGTGGTGGAGTAGTTTGAATCATTGCCTCGTGGGCCAACTTGATCAGTATTGCGAAATTTGACTGAACTTGGCTCTGGGAGAATGTTTAACTCCTAGGTTCGTAGAGGACACCGCGTACAGGTGTTCAGTCTTGCCTTCCAGTACATCTACCTCGTCCCACCTGAATGACCGGACCACCTCAGATTTCACCCACGTATTGAATCATGTCAAGCCCAACCGTCCATAGAACCCCCTTTGGCGCGCCGAAGCGCAAATTTCTCCTCAGCCTCGGCCACCATGCACCCGAGCCCTTGACATCCTCATTGACACCGAAATATAAATGCCGTCCAAGATCTCATCGGTGCTCTAGCCTTGCACCTTCATATCGTACTATTAGGTTGTTGTCGTCATCGGGGATTTGTACGATCCCCTCAGTGTATCTTCCCTTTTATTCCTCCTTTGTATACATCCTGTTTGCATCATGAATTTCCTCATTAGGGTGTGTATAGGTAGGTGATGTGCCGAGTAAGGAGGGGGGTCGCAGGTGTAGAATCAACTTAGAAAAGCTTCGTCACAAATACATAAGGAGTTTGAGAGATGTCAGATGTTTGAATACGACCCCCAGACAGACCTTAATTCGGTCGTGAATCGTATGTTGGTGGTGATCAGTTTTTAATCGACCTTTTTGCGGCTGTGAAATCTCTGCCGGCTGATTTTTCGACCAAAATATCAAGTGCAACTCCTTCAAGTCGAAAATCCATCAGATAAAATTCATCTCGGCTCCTGGAGAATATTTCACTCCCAGGTTCGCAGAGGGCAACACTGACAGGTGTTCAGCCTTCGTCCTCCTATTAAATAACGTACGTGGAACGTGGTTCCGTATTTACCCAAATAATAGTGTGGGGTGTATTGATGCCGGGTCAAAGCGTAGTAATACTAGCCTCACACTTAATGGGGGATTAGTAATGCTTTATCTACGGATCCCTGTCTTCACCACAACTGGAAGCACCATTATCAACATCTTCCAGAGACGAACGGTCAAACAGAGAATGCTAACATATTCATGGAACAGTACCTCAGGCAGTATATAGACTTCTCGCAGAAAGATATTTACGAATGGCTACTAATGGCCATATTTTCTGCCAACAACGCAGTCAATAACTCCACAATAGTCTCACGATTCTTTACAGATAAGGGCTTCCATCCACAGATAAGCGTCGGTCCACCGCGACCATTCCCAAAAACAACTCCAAAAAATCGCCGTAAAAAATAGCTGCTGGCAACAACTTCGAGTCTAAGATGGCAGAAGTTCTTGACGTGCTACGCACTAATCTTACACGCGTAAGGGAAATAAAGAAGTTATCACAAATAAAAACCGTTCCCCAGCACCGTTCTAACGAGTCGGCGATGAGGTATTCTTAGACTCTCACAAAATTATTACTTCGCGATCAACCCCTAAGCTAGACAGCAAATTTATCGGCCCATTTCAAATATCAAAAGTTACAAATCCCTATGCATGTCAATTAAAACTCTCCTTTGAACATGAAAATTTGCATACCGTATTTCACACTAGTCTGCTTAGACCGGCACCGATTGACCCTCTATGGCAACAATCCAACCCCTCGCCACCATCAATTGCATTGGACGCTTCTAGAGAAAATCTGTCTGTCATTGAAGCTTTACTTAACTCCAAGCTAAGTAAATACAAAAATCTCTATCACCAAATTCTGTGGCAAGGCCAAGACTCCGAACACAAATCATGGGAACCTCTACAATATGTCGTTAACGCGATATCTTCTATTCAAGAGTTTGAGAGGCGTTTCACCAAAAAAATGAAACCAAAAAAGAGCGAGAAACACAGAGCAAAACAAAAAGCCAATACGTCTATAATGTTGAATCATAAGAGCGTTGGTCAAACATAATTATCCCTGCACCTTAACATAACGGAGTTGTGGCTGTGATTATTATTTACTTAGGAGTAAAAATGGTAAGGCGTTTGGAGATCTTATATACCCTGTATAAGTAGTTCCATATTCGCGTATAGATGAGCCTAGTAGTGGAACATTAGTGCGATCTAGGCTGCAGCATTCTTAGGGAATACTGAGACTGTAGTAATCATACGCGTTTGTTTAACCCTATACTTTTTCGAGTCTACTTCCAGCCACACTATTCTATCCATCTGAACGAATCATAATCTAATAGGTTATGAGCCCGGTATGCCATAGAATTCGATAAAGCACGGCTACGCGTCTACTCGCATTTATTCGGACTCAATCGAATTCACTCGCAACTACCCGCATATTATCACATCTACCCACATCAATTTGTAGACACTTGTTTCGACTCACATTTTCAACCTCAGCCGCGTACAAACCAATAGAAAAGGCACACAGAAGCTAATTCAGTAAATAAAATGGCCGATGATAGCTCAGAGAAGGGAACCGGTCTTTGGAAACTATTACCCGTGTTGACCAAAGCAAATAAAACAGAATGGTTTCAATTAGTTGAACAAGTACTTGAAGGTGATAGGATACAATGGTTACTAACGCATACTAATAGAGAGTACGCGCATGTCAGAGATTCATTAAGAAAGACTGAACCCGAAGCAATTTGTAAACCATATACCGCAGGAGAAGAAGGTTCATTAATCAAGTGGTGGATTCTTCCAGAAAAGGATATGCTATACAAAAGGGCCCAAATAAATTTTCGCCTCAACATCCGATTAAAAATATCTGAAACAGATAAGGATATGATGGATGACAAAATAGGCATACCCGCGCAGTTCGCTTTACTAAAATATAGGTTCAAGCAGACCTGTATGAATATTGGCGTTGGTAGGGTACCTATGGGAGAAGTATACGGATATTAGTCACGTGGTGTCAGCGCGGCGTTGGGGTTTACTTCCGTTCTGTACTCATGATAGAGATAGATAGATATACGTTTTTTAGATCAATAACTCTGTTACCCATTCTTTGTGCTAGCACATAATCTTGAACCGGTGATAAACCGACACTGATCAGTGATCCATCTTATCGGTCACAGATCTGTACGCGGTATTC